ATATAATATAATAAAATATGTAATATTAATATACTATATATTTTATTATAATATATTATATTAATATTATTAACATTAATAATATTAATATTATAGTAATAAGTAAATTGTTTTATTAATTATTGATACAATGTATTATATTAATATTCCAATTTGATATGTACATATATTTCTTAGTTTCTTTTTACGAGATAGTTGTATTAATTATTATAGTAATATGTGAGTGAATTAAATAATTCTTGATATGATCTATTATATTAATACATCAACCATTTATGATACTATGTAATTTGGAAATAATTACCTGTATTAATTTATTTTTAAAATTTTATTCCATTTCTTGTTCAATTATTCCGGATCTGGATCATGGTTCCAGAATACAGAGTGAATAACAGGCAACACTATAGTCCCAAGTCTGTAGACATGCAGACGCAAAAGCAACACTGTAGTCCCAGAATGCGAACTGCGAAGCACCGATTATTATAGTGGCAGAGCACCAACTCTGAGGCGGGGCATTACCGCGGGCCCAGAGACGCGAGAGCGGGCATTAGAGTGCCTACGTTTCCGCGATGGTTTCCAATTGCGAAAACGTTGCAGCGAGATGCTCGAAAGATCGGAATTTTTGCATCTCTCGTTAGGGGTATAATTTTCGCGTGCATCGCATACTAGCACCGAAATATGAAAGCCTCGCTTCTGCTTGCGAATCCCATCGCGTTTCTGCGAACGATCCTTTTAAGAAGCTCGCGAAGGTGAAACAACGTATCGCATGATCCCCGATGGCCACTTAATTCCCGGTGTAACCCGAGGTAAAGAGGTACGAAGTGGCTCGAAAGTGCTCGCCACTTATCCGCAGCTCGCGCGGAAAAGGGAAATACGGGGAATGAAATTGAAGGAGAAAAGAGGCGATAGGGCTGTGGCGATCGTTATTACGCGGCTACTCTCATTAGGGTTCGCCCTTACCGGGGGTCAAGTCACGAATCGTCGTGAATTCGTCGCAGATTTTACCGGTAATTTGCGGTAATATTATAATCAGCCCCTTGCTGGGCCACGAAGAGGTGCCGACCCCGTGCTCTGGGCTAAATTGATGACCCGTGCAATCGTACGTCTCGCCTTACGTATGCTTCTCCTCTTGTTCGGCTTGCTTCACACGGCTACGTCTTTTTTGGTACCTTTCCTTTTGCTTCCACCATCCTGCGTCCAACAACCAACCCGAAAGTATCTCTCGCGGCTAACACCTCTCACCGCGTGTCGCTAGTTATTATGTTCAACTTTCCAGATGATCGATTTCGAGATTCTTCGTTGAATTTATCGTTCTTGCTCGGTTCCGGTGTGACCGCAGCTGTTGCGGATGATCGGTGTGCGTGATTTTTGGTATTTTCCAATTTTTCGTCGCGTCGATACTCGAATTAGGAATTGCTCCATTTGTTTTTATACAAATGAGAATATACGAGGCTATTTTTTGGTAAAATTGCAGTTACTTTTATCGAGATAGGAAGAAGTGTACTTAATTATTTGCATCTTAATATTGTAATCGTTATTAAGATCTAGGGAAAAGAAAGATAGGAATGAAAATAAAAATAATAATGAGAAATAAAATTATATAAGGATTTTATGCACCTTACAGATTGGTAGTGATAATGTTAATAACTAATATCACTTGTTTAAGGTAAAGTGTATCAAAAAGAAGAGTACAGGTAGCCCTCCTACAACACGGCATCCTATAACACTGTTTCGCTCTAATACAATAAGAAAATTACAAAAACCTTTGTACAACACTGTACTTCTACATGAGCAGTGATGACGAAGAAATTTATTAAATTAAAGTTGCATTAAATTAAAATATTTTTGTTTTTTTTCTTTTGTTTTGTGTTGTACATACATTTATATTTTTAATAAAAATGAAGTTGTTTATGTAGAATTAAAAAAAAATTTGTTTTTAGTAAATTTTCGGAACGTAACCCCCCTTTTTGTACTGCGTCTGGGTTTCATACAACACGGTTTCACACTACACGACATTTTATGAGAACCTATCTACCGTGTTATAGGAGAGCTACCTGTTTTTGTATTTTTTAAACAGTTTCTCGTTATTTCTAAATAACGTTGAAACAATATTTGTTGAACTTTTTAAAAGCTATGATCTTGGTACCCAAAATGTATATAAATATGAAGAATATTATTTTCGATAAAATAAATAGTATTATTGTGAATCTTTTGTTCCCGAATATTCTTTCTTTAAATATTTATTTAAATATTTTGTCATTAAATACTTTTCTAAATTTACAATAAAAGAGTATCGTGTAAAAATAACCCACAACACAATTTTACTTCAATATTTCGTGTATTGTGAATAAATAAATAAAGGAATAAATTAACAACTATTATTACATTATTATAAATTTAATATCGATCATTAATCTTTATAGTTTTTGTTAAATGGTGCGAGTTAGGTGTGTGTAAAAATTGCACTTAACTTTTTTTAATCTAAATTGCAATTGTTTTTTATCCTGATCGATTCATAGTTAAAAATATACCTACTGTGAAATTCTATTCGAGGTTTGTCTCTCTTTTCGTATTTTTCTTATGGGTAACGTGTTTATAATTGATATATTCTTTGTCAAATTAAATTACGGTATAAAACATATGTATTTTGTATATTAAAAGTAAAAGCATAATAAAATAAAAATAATAAAATAATAAAATAAAATAAAAAATTAAACGTATTAAATACAAATAGCTGTAATAAGTAAAAACACATAAAAATTACAATGTCAATAATTAATAAAAAGATGTTAGAGAGTAATAAGTTAAAATTTTAAATTTGATAACAAATAACATAGTTACATTTGAAAAAAGACGAACTGAGAATTAATACACGAGTGTATTGTTTTTATTCAACACATGGGGTCAGTCGGTAATGAGTTAAGGACATTTATCAAATCATTCTGATAAATTACTACGAATTTAATAAATATTAAAAAATACAAATTAAAAAGTACTAAACAATAATTAAAATTAATGGGACGAAATTTTATGTTTATTCGAGTCAATTATCTCAAATTTCAAATATTTGTTCCACATATATATAGTTACATGTACAAAAAGTTTAAAAATAGAATAACAAAAAATTAAAAATAAATTACAAATTATGATGTGACCATTGAAATCACTAGAACTCTACGAAGAAATTATGGGACGAATTAAATGAAATTTAATTTAAGGGAAAAATTAAAAGTAGGTTAAAAACAAATTACGTCTGAAGTATTAAAAAAGTGAATAGAAAATGTTTCACTACAGGTTCAGTCAATACATTGACAAGAAGAAAGATACAATGCATAACAATTGCATTAAGTATTTATAAAAATTTCATGACATATAATTTACGTAATATATTACTAACATAGTAATGTATTAATAACAATAATATAATATATTATATACTATAATATGTATAATATATATATTATAATATTGTATATTATTGTATATTATTGTATACTGTATATTGTACATTATTATATTTTGCATATTATATTGTATACTATATACAAAACTATAATATATTAATAACATACTATAATATAGTATATAACAATTGCATTAAGTATTTATAAAAATTTTGTGACATATAATTTACGTAATATATTACTAACATAAATAACAAATAAATATTTAAATGGTAAATAATTGAAATAATAATTTAAGTGATAAATATTTCGTAATATTGAATCGTCTATATCCTAATTTGATTTAAATGTCCTGTGATTTATGAAGTTATAATGCAAATATCTTAAAAACACGTTTTCATACGTTATTTCAAAATTATCAAATATTTTTATTCACTATGATCGATATTATCGATATTGATATTCGATACCTATTAATGTATATTTCATTGTAAACTGAAGATTACATTTTTCTTTTGTTTCAGATGACATCATAGGAGTTCACTGCACTCATGGTGTCAATCGTTCGGGATACCTAATTTGTAGGTTAGTACATTCCGACTGGGCGAAATATTAAATTATTTTAATTCATTCCAAGTGTTGATATCGGATAAAATCAAATAAGATCGACTTACCATATTATAATACTGTATTAAAAATGATTTAAAATCATTCTACACGTAGGTGACGTTCTAAGGTAACATATGTAGCGATTATTACGTAACCAATAGGTTATTAATTTGCAACTGAATTTATTAAATCGAATTATTAACAACATATATAAATTTGTGTATTTTGTTATTACAGGTACCTCGTACAGCAATTAGGTTGGGAACCAGAATTTTGTTTGAAAGGTAAGTTATAGATCACGAGAGTTTTGTTTTGGTAGAAAGTTGTTGAATGTAAATAGAAAGTAATTATGTTGATACGTATGTTCAGGAAGTTTCACCTTTTATAATTCTTTTCTTATCTTTCTAACTCTATTATTTAGTAATTTAGTCATTCCATTCTATGCTTTAACCCTTGTGTCAATAACCTCGTATGCATTTGCACATTTTCACTTAAGATTTTATATTTTCTGAATTAAATACACATATTTTGATATCCAAGCAGATCGTTTTCATTTCATATGTTTTTTACCAATCTGCTTCAAGTTTAGAATTTTTCTAGCAGAGATGTACAAAAATTGGATGATGTATAATGCTTGTTTAATAAGTAGGTATTCTTATAAAATAAATAGGGATATATAATACATAAATGAAAGTACAATTAAAGGTAAATAAAGAAATTAAATGATAATATATTTTCGTAGACGAATGATATTTTAATACAGAAATAATGAAAGAATATACAGTAAGGCATATAATTATTATAAAATAATCATTATTGAAATAAAAATGATGCTTAGACAATGATAATTTTTATATTATGCATTGTTTACATTTTGTATAAATTCTTACATGGTCTTTTATGATCTAAGTATAATTGTAATAGTAACTCATCATAAATGTAACCTAGACATAGTGCAACATTGACAATTTTGATTATTGACATAAGGCTTAAAAATTTTTTAGTTTAGCGTCATTCTAAGAACAGTGATGCAATGATTCAAATTTTATTATGCTTAAAAGTTGAGCATAATAATTTTATTATCCTTAAAAACCTGATAAGTAAAAATTCGTATTTCAATTCAAAATAGATACAATGCACCGGCATATTCATATTTTATTTTTATATTGCTGATAAAAATAGTCGTATTATCTTCTCTTCCTATATCAAAGAATCAGTAAAGTTAGCTAAACGCTTTTCATACTAAATATCGTGAATCAAAGATTATAATTCTGTTTCTATTGGAGATAGAAAACAAATGTAAAATCAATTTTGCATTGTCCATTATGATTTATCCTGTAGTGCGATTTTTTCCAGGAGTGCAATTGTAAAGTATAAGTGTACTTGTTTTTTTAAATAGAACCTTATGATTTTTTGAAACGATATGATTTTTTATGATAAAATAAAAATTTTATTGTATTTTCATAAAAAAAAGGAAAAAAGTAAACGGAACAAAATTTTGATAAACAAAAGATTAAAAATTAAAAAACATACTTTTATCAGGTTTATGCAATGACA